ATCTACACTCCACATTTCCTTAGTCTTTTCATCTGGACACTTAGGCTGCTGATTCTGTATCTTAGCTATTGTGAATAGTGCCGCAGTACACATGGGAGTATGACATACTTATGATTTCATTTCCTTCGGATATGTAGTTTGTCCCTCAGTATCCACAAAGGATTCATTTCTGGACCCGCTACAGCTATTAAAATCCGATGATACTAATTTCTCTTATATAAAATGGCATAGTATTTGCATATAACCTAGATATACCCTGCTGCATACTTTAATCACCTCTAGATTACTTACTATACCGAAAACCACATATATAAATATTATACAGATGGCCATAAAGTCCATGTGCAGTTTTAAATCACATACTATTTTAAATTGCACATGAACTTTATGGCTACTCTGTGTAATTCGTTGTTATACTACATTTTTTTTTTATTTGTATAAATCTTAATTTTTTTCTTAAATATTTTCTATTCATGGTTCGTTAAATCCACAGATACAGAAGCTGTGGATATAGAGAGCAAACCATACACCAAACACTGGGACTTCTGGATCATATAGTAGTTCTGTTTTTAATACTGTTTTACATAATGGGTGTATTAATTTATATTTCTACCCACAATAAGGGTCCCCTTTTCTCCACATCCTTGCCGGCACTTATCTTTTGTCTTTTTGATAATAGCCATTCTAACTAGAATGAGATGATATTTCATCATGGTTTTGATTTGCATTTCTTTAGTAATGAATGGTGTGGCATATTTCTTATATACCTGTTGGCCAATTATATGTCTTCTTTGGAGTAAATGTCTATGTCTGTTAAGATCTTCGTTCATTTTTTAAATTGGATGATTTGTTTTCTTGCTGTTGTTTAAGTTCCCCATGTGTTCTGGATATTAACCCTTTGTTAAATATATAATTTGCAAATATTATCTCCTATAGGTTGTCTCTTTGTTGATTGTTTCCTTCGTGTGTAGAAGCTTTTGGTTTGATAAAATTCCATTTATCAGGTGGCGCCTATGCCTCAAAGGAGTAGGGCGCCCGCCCCATATGCCGGAGGTGGCAGGTTCAAACCCAGCCCCGGCCAACAACTGCAAAAAAAAAAAAAAAAAAAAAAAATCCGTTTATCTGTTTTTGCTTTTGTTACCTTTGCTTTTGATGTCTTATCCAAAAAGCTTTGCCCAGTACAATGTCATCAAGCATTTTCCTTTGTTTTCCCCTAGTAGTTTTATAGATGTCTTACATTTAAGCCTTTAATCCATTTCGAGTGGATTTTTGTAGTGAATAGTGTTTTAAACTACAGATTAAATTAACAGAGTCATTGAATTAGGTAGCTATGTGTGCAGCTCAGCTAGAAGCATTCAAAGGATTTGTACTAAGACTAAAGAGTGTAGGTGGTCACTGAAGTTAGTTTGAACTGTCTTTGAGGAGTCTAGTAGAATGTTCTTACCTTCATCAGATCTTCAGTTTGACAGGTCTAGTAACTCCTTTGAAACTGTTTCCAGAGTTAATCTGGCCTAGATGCAGTGTCTTTTACTTCTAGACTGATTGGAGATCATCATAAAAGATTGATTGTTTATTCTCTCATGCATGATTGTCAGGTGTGCTGAAGGACTCTTAGCACATTCTTTCTCCCATGTGACAACATATGTGGCAAAATGTTGCTTGGTGAGGACAAGCCCAAAGCAGAATGAGTTAGATGGATTGTGTCATCAGGCTGTCTCTGCCAAGACTGGGTTCTCAGCTGTTAACAGGAAACTTTTGGTGAAAAGTTCTTGCTTTTTATCCTCCCACTCATATTTTAAACATCAAGCTGATGAAGACTTTTCTCTCCTTTTCTCTTAGGAACTTCCCCTCTCCCCTTCCATCAAAAAAAATATCATTAGCTAGAATATAGTTTATATTTTAAGTAGTTGAACATTTTTTAGCCTGAACCTGAAAGATAATTTCTTAGGGTAAGATCAGCCACCAGGAGAGATGAAAAGATTAGCTCATAAAATAGATAAGACCTATATTTCTGTAAGTTTTACTGTTTTTAATTTATACTTACAAAATCTTACAGTTTTTAAATAAGGAAGCATTCTCATATACCTTGTTATGCAGACTAGTGGAAGTCTTAGCTATTTTGATTGTTAGACCATAATCAAGGCATAGATGTTTCTTTAGAAATAAGATATCCTAATTATAGACAACTCACAGTAAAAATTCGTTTCTTTCTTTCTTTTTTCTTTTTTTTTTGAAACAGAGTCTCACTATTATTACCCTGTGTCAAGTGCCCTGATGTCATATCATAGCTCATAGGACCCTCAAACTCTTGGGCTCAAGTGATCCTTTTGCCTCAGCCTCTCTAGTAGCTGAGACTATAGGTGCCTGCCACAACACCCGGCTAGTATTTTTTCTATTTTTAGTAGAGTTAGGGTCTTGTTCTTGCTCAGGCTGGTCTCAAACTCCTGAGCTCAAGAAATCTACCCACCTCAACCTCCCAGAATGCAAGGGTAACAGGCATGAGCTACCATGGCTGGCCTAAAATCTTGTTTCTTATTCCTGGGAGAATATATTTTTCTAAAGAGCTAAGTTTTACATATAACTAAGAACTTACACATTTTATTATTACTCCTGAGAGTAGCAGTTGGTTCTTTCTTGATGGGCACTAATAGTGTTCAGTCTTTCATAGCGAATGGAATTATCTGCACCAAAACATTTAAACATTTTTGGTGTATTCTTTTAAAAGCTCCCTATTTTTATGCTTTTAAGTACAAAGCAAAAGTATACTAAACCTAGTTTGGTACTTGGGAATAGCTTATGGTTTTTAGTATTCCTGGCAGTAACGACCTCTCTCCTTTTTTAGTTAGCTGTTCTCGTCCTGCTTGTGAATGTAATAACGTGTTAACTTGTGTTGTTCTGAGTGTGTTGTATGTATAAGTGCCAGGACAAAAATTTGATGACATGTTTGGATGCTCAAATACAAATTCTGCTTTTTTCTTATAACAGTATTCTGGATAGCTGAGTTTCAGAGAGATGATGAACATTTGCCATTTCTAGAGGGGAAAAAAAGCCATTTTGGCCAGCCTCACAAATTCTGTTCAGAAATGATGGTAAACATCATATCCTTTAAAAGAATATCCATCTGTTTATGATGATTTAATAGGTAGTACTCAAGTTATTTCTCAGATTCTAGAAAGGTGTCAAAACACTTGAAAATAAAAGCTTTTTCCTTATGAAATATAATTCTGACATCTTTAAAGTTGATTCTTTTAATACCACAAATAATTCTTCAAAGTTATAAGCAAGTTGTGAATTTCTACAGAGTAAAAATTTCCCTTAATAAGCTGGTGATAGTAGTCTAACCTTGCAATTGCCTTTCTTATCATGGATATTTTTCAGTTCTTAAGTGTTACGCGTGACTATGGTTTTAGGCAATTCATACACTTTTCCTGATAGCACTTCTTGACTCCTGTTTGAGTGTGTTCACGCGCGCACGAGCGCACAGGCACACGTGTGTATAGTATTAGCTGATGATAGTGATCTAACCTTGCAATTGCCTTTCTTATCTTGAATAGTAAAATATATAAAAAACCATAACATATCAAAACAAAATTTATATATATTTGTACTCTTGCACAGCTGTTAATTGCCTTGATTCACTTCCTTTACAGATGTGGAGTCTAAAGCTCAAGTTCTCATCAATGTTTTCATATGTTTGTACACTCTGTTTTCATAAACTTAAAACATTGTTTTGAGGAAGTTATGCAACAGAGCTGAGAAAAATTAATTGTAAATAGATTCTCATTGGATACCATGAATTTTCACAGCATGATAGAAGAATTAATATATAAAGAACACGTAGCTAATTTATAATTTCTTTACAAATTCCTGGAAAATCTGTAAATGAAATTCTGTTACTGGTTACTAGTTACCTAAAAATAGATTCGTTTTCCCTTATGTAGCATAACTATTAGTTATTTAGCTATTCATGGTAAGCATTTAATATTATGAACCATTCATGTAACATCTCTAAAGAGTTTTTTAAAGTAAAGGTGCTGTTCGTTAGCATCATTGGAAAAAACTACAGCCAAGTATGTTCTTGGGATTTGAGTTGCAAACACAAGTAGTTGCATGCATACTAATGTCTAATATAGTATACTCCGACCTACGTGAGCAAGATATAAAATGTAACTTAAAGGGGCAGGGAGAGGAAAACTTCTCTAACTTTTGTACACTTGAAAGAATATATTCTTTTGTATTGCTTAAAAGTATATTTAAAACATAAATGTATATTTAAAAATAAGATTGTATAATTTGTCTTGAATTTCTGGATAATATTTATCATAACAGTTTGTAAATGTAATGATGGATCTTCTGTTAACTCAAATTAAAACAGCATGTTTAGAAGCTGTTTTCTGTTTATTGAATTGTTTTTCTTATGTATTATTGTCAGAAGCTGATAAAAAACATATTGTTAAGAAATTGTATTATCATGAAAAGAGTGATTTTCTATTGCAAAAGACTACTAATCATTTCACTTTAGTTTTTAGAGCAGCAGATGTTATGATAGGGCAGATTCATAGATTGCCTGGTTAATTTTGTTGTTCAGAGAAATCTGGAATCAGGAGCACTCTCTTGGCAGTTTTCTGTTCATTAGCGTCTTTCATATGTCATTTTGGTATTTAATGCATATTTACTTACAGTTGAATTGAAAATAGACACTAGACTTTTAAAAGAATCGTCAGGAAAGCATGCGTAATAAAAAGATACATTTTAATGAAGCGATACTTCCACAGTTTTTGTAAGGTTTTGTATTTGAATAATTTTGTATTGTATAATATAGTGTTCTGTTTTTTAAGGGAATTATAACAATGTATGTACATAACTAATAATTCTTAGTACTCACATAAACTGTTTAAAGCTTTAGAATATTCTCTGAATTGGATTATAAATAACATAAACTAGATATAGACTCAATAACTTTCTTACATCTGAACATAATTTTTTTAAATTTTTAATAGGATACAACATCTATTGAAAAGATGTCAAACTGTTGTGATGAAATGTAAGTATAAAAGTGAAGTGTATAATATTATTTAAAAATGGAAACAACGGGACATATTTCAGAAATATGTGCATGTAGTGGAAATACAATGATGACTTTTTATTGGCTCCTTGTCTAGGCCTGAACTAGAGAAGCATACCCCATCCTTACAGTGGGGTCTTCTAGCCATGATAGTTTTCAAACAAAATAAGTACTGATCATTCTTATTCCTTGTCTAACTAAAGTAAGTTAAATTATTTGTCCTGAAAGTACATCAAAAGAGATTTGCTACTGTGTTGTTGACACACATTCTGTTAAGCTTGAGATTCTCCTCCCCTTCAAAAGTTGCCCTAGGTTGATTGACGACACAGATACAATATCTGCTATCCAGAGTTAAAACTCAGCTGCATGCCATATGAAAGAAAAGCTGTATTTGTGATGCTGGGACACAATTCATCAGAGTCCAGTAATGGATCCCCAGCCAACCTGTATTGTTTTAGCTGACTGAAGTGCACCATGGGAGTGCTGTCTTTCACTAATAATGCTGTCTTCTGTAGATCGAGGCCTCGAAAGCCATGGCAGCAGACCTTCTCAGAAGTTTTTGGCACTCGTTGGAAGATCCTGTGGTTCATTCCTTTCAGGCAGAGGCAACCACTGCGAGTTCCCTACCACTTTGCCAATCACGTCTAAACAGATGGATGGTGGGCACAGATGGGTCCTCCATGCTGGAAATGCGTTACAGGTTTTATGATAATAGAACTATGACAGTCTTCAAGTCAATTAAAATCCACCCACCAATCTTAGGCATCATAATGTGCCCCAGGCTTTATTTTAATAGTGATCTTGATCCTGTTGTGGGACTCATACAAGATGTATATTTAAGTTTTAAAGCATGTTTACTTTCAAATTAGCTTTCCACAGGGATTTATTTAAATGCTTTTGTAATTAAACTCAAAAGGCAGTGATTGGGATGAAATAATTGTACATAATTTCTTTTGGTACTTACAGTGTTACAGATTTTAATTTATGGGAAATTTCAGATGTTTATTTAAAATTTTCACTTTTAAGCACTTCTAACCAAATCAGAATTTAACTCTTCAGGTTTTTCAGAAGTTGATATACCTTCTTATAGTGTATGTAAATTTTCTTTCTCAAATGCAATTTAAACTACTCAATGCTTCCTTTTATGTCTACAGCAAGTTCTTTGAAAATGCAGCAGCACAGGAATGAGCAACAAAGACAAAAGGGCACTGTTTTCTTTGGAGTAGCTTTCTGACGTTTTCTTCTTTTCTCCTCACCAAAACTGAAATTAAAACACCACTAAAATAAAACTCCAACTACCTACTTTATTATAAAGGAACGATTAATAGGTTTCCACGTTAATTTTCCCAGTTTTCCCCTTTGCCCTTGTTATTATTGATTGTTATTAGAATATTTGCTTCAAGGAGAACTTGTGACTGGTAAGCATATATTTCTATTTCACCCTAAGATGTTAATGAGTGAAATGGGTAGAGAATTTGCAATAATTCCACAGTCACCTTTTCTAGTAAAGTTATATTAGAATACCTATGTTTTTAAAATTCTAGTATAACTAGATAATACATATATAATATACAGTAGAAAGAGGAATATTGTGCTTTTGAAAAGAATATACTTTTTACTTTTATTTATCTACTAGTAGGTCTAAAATTATACACAGAAGGTTTATATATAATAGATATTGGCCAACTGATATCAAAGTTTTATTTATAGGAAGCTGATACTAAAAATAAGCCACTGACTTATATATACTTATGGTCATCTAAATTGAAATTAAATTTTAATTGGCCAGCTACAGTTTGCATTGAGGGACCTTTTATTAGTAGCTCTTGTTAGAAAATGACCTTAAAATAAGAAAATACAATGATCTATATTTATCATTAGCCACATACAAATTTAAATTACTAATAGGGATATTCTCCTGGAAAGCATAGAACATTTGTATGAAAAGACATTTAGTATGCTTTGAAAACAGTTCAGCTTTTAATTTTTTTCCATTGGAATACTGCAAAACCCATATATACTTTTAAAGTCTTTGTGAGCTCACATTCTTTCCCTTGAAGAAAAAATTGAAAGAGTCTATGTTCTTGGACCATATTAATATTTTCTTTTTAGTTAGTTTGGAAAGTAAGGAATCATACCTGGGAAATAATAAAATAGAATGTTACCATTGTCAGCCAGTTGGATATACTGTGATTAGTTCTTTCAAAAATTGTAAATATCTTATAAAATATTCTAAAGTGACAATAGAATAAGCTCTTCTCGGAGATGTTAGTATCATGTTTTTATATTCTAATTATAATGCTGTATTAAAAACTTAGAAGTGGCAGATGAACTATTTATTGGTGCTGCAAGGGATATGGTAAATTTAATGTAAGAAATATATTTATAAAGCTTAATGAAACACAAAATTAGTATGTTCATATCAGGCAAATGGGTTGGCTTTTGTGCAAGCCAATTAACCAAATTATGCTTGGTGACAGAACTGTTACAACAAAGTGATGTATAACGTGGGTAGATAGCAGTTGAATGCCTTGTATTGTATACATTCCTTTTAAATAAGGACCTTGAGAAAATTGCAGAGCCAAGAGAAGACCCCCTGAAGAGCTTTGTCATCATATTTACACTTCATGTAGTAGCAGTCGCTGAAAGGCACTAAGGAGATCTCTTTCCCACTCGGAGGTTTTGTTTTTGTTTTTCTTAGATTTACCACCACTAGCACACATTCCGGTCCCTGCTTTCTCTTTACCCTCCTTGGTCTAATTTCTCTGTACCCAGTTCCTCTAATTTATGGGACTACTGACTAATATACAAGAAAAGCATATGCTTACTTTGTTTGAATGGCAGAAATACTACATATCAATATATTTATATAAGAATCTATATTAAAGTATATCTGTATATACTTATACTGTAAGTTTCAGTATTCCCAAGTTAGCACACCTAACCCTGCTGTGTGGGTTTTGTAATTTTTGTTAGATTACTAGACGGAAACCATTTGGCAGTTTCCTAGGGATTACAAAAACTCCAGTGTTCTTTCTGCGCCCTCTTTTGGCTAATTGATGTAATTATACTGGCTCTATAGATTTACTAACCCCTTATGTAAATACTATAGCCAAATTCTGAACATGTCAGATGCACCAACTTAGGAATATGTGTCCAAGAGTGTAAAATGTTATGAAAACGAATGTGGCATTCCTTATATTTCTAGTTCATAATTGATGACTACTTCATTTATGTATATTCTCATATTTTTTGCTATCACTTACTAATTTCTATCAGGCCCATATGAATTAATATAAGCTATTTCATGTATTTTATTTTAAATCTCATTTGGGCAGGTAAGTTATTTAGAATTAGAAAACACAGAAATTTATTGTAGTTATAATGGCAACAAAGTATCTCATGTGTTTTAATGAACATATAAAAAATACATTTAGCTTTTTTATCTCAGTTTTGGAATGATTTTTTAAATTGGCTCTATTGCCTTAAAACAAAAAATAAGAGAATAATTCTTTCTATACCTTACTTTTGTTTTCTTTGTTCTATTTAAACTGTCTGGTCAGAGTTATGTATCTATAGCTTTAGTAACCAGTTTACTGTGTACTCTGGATAACCATGAAAATAACTAAATTATTGATATCTACATATTGGATTAAGCATTTCTTTATAAACATTCCTTTTAATTTTAAGCAAAATGTTAAGAAAATTAAAGGATGTTTCTATATCAGTAAGCCATTGACAGGGCTTCTGGAAATACACGTTTTTATGAAGGTACTGTAAATTATACTTCCTGAACAGTCATATTTGTTGTTGTTCTTTGTAAACAAAAAAATTCATGGGCTTAGTTTAGGCTCAAGATTGTGGGCAAAAATGGACTGAGTTCAGAATTTCCCCCAAAGTAGGCATTCAGTTAAAGAGCTATTAGTATTTTATAATGCAGAGTTAAAGTTTAAAAATACTAAGTTAGCTGATGTTCCATTATAATAAAAATGCTATTTTGCTTAAAAGTTGTATTCAAAAATTTGTGGTTAACATAAGAGATAGATATTAAAATTATAGTGAACATTATTAACCTATTTTTTAGAAGAAAGCAGTTTACTTTTATTAGTAATAAAGTAGAGATACATAAGGTTCAGTTTAAGAACTGAGTTAAAATTTCTGTTAGAGTTAACATAAATGCATTTTTTGCTAATGCATAGAGGTATTTTTTTTCTAAGGATGGTGACTAACTATAAATATTCTTTACCATGCTTTGAAGTCACTTCCATACAAGTTACTGGTTGGATCTATGTTTCACTTCAAAGGGTAAACTAATTTTGAATGCTAATCATGGAGAGTTAGAAGAGGTCTTTCAACCAGGACGTGTAAACTAATTTGAATTATGGCCCAAAAATTTTCCCTGTGCTAGCAGGAATGTCATAGGCTGCATGCAGATTATGTGAGAACTTTTTTTGCTTATTTGTGGTGGGAGGTATCACAAAAACTGATCCTTTTTTTTGCTCCTCAGCTTTCCTTAGTGTTTTTGCATTTAATGTGTGACCCAAGGCGGTTGTTCTTCCAGTGTGTAGCCAGAAAGAAGGTTGGACACCCTTGTAAGTTAGATCACATGGGGCAGTTTTTTCTTACATGTATTGTAATAAAATTATAGTTTGTTCAGCTCTGGTTTAATATGCCATTAATATTCATTAACAGAGCTGCTGATCTGTCTGGACTTTCCTCTAGTCTCTGACTACTTCTCTTATACTTCATATATCAATAGATTACCTAGCTCAAGTTTATTAACCTCTAGTTATGTTAATAGGTTTTTAACTTGATCTCTAGTATACATATATACCTCTAGAATTTGATGAAGTTTACATGTAAAAACATTAAGTAATTTACTAATAGGTACGAGTATTAGATTTTTCACCCAGCTCTACAACTATTGCTTTTAAAAATATAAGTATTGGCAAGTGTAGTTAGTAAGTCATGTCTGTTTAGTATGTTCTACTTATTTGTATTAACCACATAATCTACTAGTGAATGAGTGTATTATTCAATACCCATATTTGTTACCTTCTAGTCTAGGAATCAATCCTCTGAATTTATAGTTCACGACACTTATTATGCTTTATATTTAGCCATTCTCATTTGAATTCCAGAGTATTCCACAGTAGAATGGGAGAAAGTATTAGAACTAACTTGCTTAAAGTATTTTGAACCAATGTTGTTATTCTATATATCAATTAATAGTTTTAATATTTAGCATTTCTGCTCTCTTTGGATGATGATGGTTTAATTTTTGGAAAGTGACTTTTCTCTGACTTCTTTCATTATCATTGTGCAGTTTTTAACAACAAAATTCACTGCATTTTTGTCTGTTCTTCATGTGTTTCAATACTACCTGCTAATTTGAAACAGAAATAACAATGATATTTAAAATTTTTAAGTCATTGATGCTACCGATGTATTCCCTTATCCTTGTATTTTGTATTTTTTTTTTACTGCTATTATGTTCTTTACCCTTTGTCCATCGAAGAGGATAGGTACAAATGAGTAGAGAGTAGCCAAGACGTATTTAAGTGGAGAGAAGTCTAGATGGTGCATGAATACTCAGCATCTCAGCAATAGAGTTGACCTAGTACAGTTTCAGTGATGTCAGAAAACCTCCTTACAATAATCATTTTAGCCTTATTTCTTTTGATACCATTTTACTGGAAGAGTAGTTAATGCATAAAAGTGTTTAGTTTGAGTTATTTAATCTAAATAATTTATATTGCTGTTTTTCTTCAGCTGGTCAGATGCCTTTGAGATATTATTTTAAAATTTAGATATAATTATGTAATGTACATTAACATGAAGTATTAAGAATAATGTGGGAAATGCAGCTATTTAATGCAGAGGACAAATGAATAGGTGGCCCAATGTCTGGAAAAACTGGAACCTTTTCTGGAA